TCCTCATGCGGTGCTCACAGCACCCTCATGGGACTGCCCTGATGACTTGCTAAAAAATTCAGACTTAAGGACTCCACTCAACACCAAACAGATCAGTCCCTCTAAATGGCCCCCATGATTCTGACATACATTCAAGTCCAATGCACCATTTTACACATGGTGAAACTGAGGCCCAGGCAAGTAGTGACTTTCCTGAGGTCTCACTGAGAGCACTGGGCGAGGGAACCCAGGAATCAGGACCTCAGGTCTAGGGCTTACTCCAATGCCCTGACACCTGCACCCTTTATTCTGGCTCTCTTGGGTGGTCCCCTGAAATTTAAAAACTCTCTGAGGGGAAGGATCACCAGTGAGATCCTGAGGCGAAGCTGAGAGCCCACCCCAGCCCTGGCCCTCAGCGCTCACCTGGTCCACCAGCTCAGCCATGAACAAGGCAATCCTCATCCTCAACAACCACATAAAGCCACAGCTCTCCAAATTCTACCAGCCTTACAGAGAAGACAGACAGCAGCAAATCATCAGGAAGACATTCCACTTGGTATCTAAGAGAGATGGAAATGTTTGCAATTTCCTGGAAGGATAATAATTAATTGGAGGAGCTGACAACAAACTGATTTACAGACATTTATGCAATGTTATCTTTTGTCTTCTGTATGGATTTTTCAGACAGTGAACTTGGCATTGGAGATATAATTCAAGTATTTGTGGAAACATTACACAAGTGTTTTGAAACTGTCTGTGAACTGAATTCCATTTTCCATGTAAGCAAGGCTCACAACATTATTACAGAGATGGTGATGGGGGAATGGTATTAGAGACTAATATGATTGAGATTGTTACATAAATTGATGTAAAAAATTAACTGGAGAAATCTGAGGCTGGCTTAAAGGGAGTTCCAGCCCATGCTGTATCAGCTGTAAAGAATATGAATCTTCCTGAGATCCCAAGAAATATTTGGTGACATCAGTATAAAAGTGCCAAACCTGTCCTCTTTTAAATAAAAAATTTGAAAGGCCACTTCCAGGTAAAATCCAGGGGGAAAAGTCGTAAGTTTACCATGTAGTTGTTTATTAGAAACTAGAGGCCCAGTACATGAAATTAGTGCGCAGGTAGGGTCTCTAGGCCTGGCCTGTGATCAGGGCCAATCCCCGGCTGCTGGCTGCCAGCAGCCAACCCCGTTCCCCCCCTCTCCCCCACCACCAATGCCAGTCACCCTCTGTGTGTGGGGTGACTAGCAGGGTGCTCGCACCCGCCTTGGCCTGGTGCCGCCCAGGTCTGCTGCCACCCACCCCTGGTTCCTCTTTCCCCATCGGGCAAGGGGAGGGACCAAGAGGTTGGCCAGCAGACCCCCATCCAGCGATCAGGGCCTGCGGGCTGGGGGCAGCTCCTGCGTTGAGTATCTGCCCCCTGGTGGTTAGTGTGCATCATAGCAACCGGTCATTCCACTGTCTGGTCGATTTGCATATTATACTTTTATATATATAGACTACATATATAGATAGAGGAGGAGAGTCTTAACTTATGCCCTTGGATTTCAGTCAAGGTACTGTATAGAAGTTGTGTCAAATCAGTATAGTGGTTCAATGTTGCTTCTCTTACTCAGTGATTTTAAAGAAATAAAGTAGTTCCAGTGTGATTTTTTTTCTTTCTTTTCTAAACTGCATTCCTATGCACACTGAAGGCATGCCTTCATGTATTGGCTACAACAGAATCTCAAAAAAGTATCTGAGACATTTCTTTAAATTATGTACAACTCAGAATGTTGGTGCTTTGTATGGATCAAAAGTGCAGCATTCCTGAATTCTTTCTGTTATTTGTCATGACTGGTATTTAAAGAACCAAGCATGTATTGCGTGAAAACATTATGATCTTTTTCTCTTGGTTTAAATAAACTCCATGGCAACTAGACTTCTAAAGAACTTTTGTTTGCCTGATATCTACTTTAGCAATCATTTTTATAACCCTCTGACTCAACAAAGTAAAGAAAGGTGTATTTTATCACTGTTTAAAAAAATAAATATACATTTAAAAATTTTTTCTAACTCTCTGAAATGGAAACACCATCTGCATGGTCTCCTCCATCCTCACAATCCCAGGACAAACTGCAGGCTGAGGAGACACCCGTGGCCCATGGGCACATCTCCCAGAGCTGCTTGCAGCTGTAGAGCCCTGGCCTCCTGCAACACCTACCTCTCAGGCACAGGGCTGCGTGCCCTAGAACTCCATGCAGTCTTGCAGATTCATCTGACTGAACATTCAACTGACCCCTCTTTGACCCAGGGTCTGGGGAAGTACACGAGGGGCCCCAGGAGTAGGATACCTCCTCAGACTCCAACCCACCCACACCCCCATACCCCCCATACCCCCCTCCTGGGACTGCCTGCCCTTCTTCCCATCTCCCCAGGCCTGGGGAGTGGGTACTGAAATAAATGGCTGCATCCTCTTCCTGCCCCAGATTCTTGAGCATCTTTGGAAACTCCACTTCCCCCTCCCTCTTCTGCTGGCTGACTTTCTACAGTGCCCACCCCTACCCACCCCTGGGAGGAATAGTTCTGACTGGCTTCAGAAGGCTCCACAACCTGCCTTGCCCTTACCTCCCATGGACTCCTCACAGATATGCCTCTCTGATGCCATCCCCAACCAGGCAGGAAGTGCCCTTGTCCTTGCTCTCCACTCCAGCCTCCGGAGACACACCTGGACACCTTTTCTGTCTAAATCCACTTACCATCACCCACATAAATATAGGATCTTTCTGTTATTTGTCTCCCTGGGAGATTGCAGCCCTCCATGTGTGTCCTGTCCTTGATTCCAACGGCAGTGTGTTCAACACTGACCTCTCTGAGGCAGTCTCTGCTGGGCCAGCTCCCAGAACATGCCCTGTCCTTTCATCTTCTAAATTATCTAAGGTATCACTGGTTCATGATAACCCTGGGCTAGACGCTGTCCCTCGCTGCCTTCCCTAGCTTCGTGGTATAGGCCTAGGGAGTCCTGATGAGAGAAGTCCGGTGAGGGGCTTGTGTGGCACAGCCCTTTTTGGAGAGTGACAGGGAGGCAAGCCCCCTTCACTGTCTGGGCCTTTACAGATCAAAAATCTCCGCAGCCGTAGGCTGGAGCATGCCTCTGCTCGTTCATTCGTAGTTGACTTTTATCATTCTAATAATTCATAATTACCACGCTGGGAAACCTGTCTCAGATCCTTTTCCCCTGCAGCTACGCCAACTGTCCATTTTCCCGTCCCTTAGCACCTCCCGCAGCCCTAATGACTGGGGACATGGTCTAACCACTAGAGAGCCCTCAACCAGGGCGCTGAAGGCCGAATACAGGGAACCTCGGTGTCCTTGCAAGGGATTTGGGTGGGAAGAGATGACGCGGGTTCGTCTCCGCATCCCATCCCAGTCTCCGAGGCCCGAGCGGCTGTCTTCCGCGCCACCTGGCGGCCGCCGCCTTTAAGCGGAGAACAGACTGAGTGATGGCGAACCTATGACAAGCGTGTCAGAGGTGACACGAGAACTCATTTTTTTGGTTGATTTTTCTTTGTCAAATGGCATTTAAATATATAAAATAAATATCAAAAATATGTCTTTGTTTTACTATGGTTGCAAATATCAAAAAATTTCTACATGTGACAGGGCACCAGAGTTAAAGTTAGGGTTTTTCAAAATGCTGACACGGCCGAGCTCAAAAGGTTCGCCATCACTGGGACTCAGCGAGGGTCCCCGGCTAGCGGAAACCGGTTCCCTCGGGGCGCCCAAGCGGGCTGGGTGGGGGCGCCCAGCTTGGAGGACCAGGACCGCGCAGCCCCGGGGAAAGCACTCGGGCGGATCCCGCGACACTCGGGAGACCCCCACCCAGTGCACTCAGCCCCTCGCCCCGGCAGACACGGGGCTCGGACGCTGCGGGGGTCTAGGCAGCTGAATGAGCATGCGCGCGCGCCCGCCTGCCCCACGCGGCGCCCCGCACCAGCGCGCGCGCCCGCCTGCCCCACGCGGCGCCCCGCACCACCGCGCGCGCGCACGCACTCCAGGGCGCCCGCCCGCGCCAGGCAGCCCTGGAGCTGGCCACCCCGAGAGCATAGGGCAACCTCGCGCGACGCGGTCATGCGGGCACCGCCTCACACATTTCCGCCCTCACCTCGAGCGTGAGATGCCGCCACAGCCGCACTTTCCCACGGGCGACCCCCTCGAGGTCGGGACGGGGTGGTCCGTGCGGCTCCGGCCTCTCACAGAACAGTCTGGGGGCGCCCGCCAGGCCGCTCCCACCTGCGCGCTGCGGCAGCCAATGAGAGCCTGGCCTAGTGATGTCATGCCCCTACCCGACCCCGGGGAAGAACGTCCGAGGTCACCCGTCGGAACAGCGCAAACCCACCCAAGGGGTTCCCGAAGTTTCCACTGCGGCGGAGGGCGGGCTCGCCCCGCACCCTTTGCATGCCACCATTTGGCCTTCCCTCCCCGAGCCCCTTCCCCCTCCTCTCTGTCATGGGGGTCCCCTTCGTTTCCACTTGTGAGCTTATGTGCACATGTTCATTTCCACCGCTGCGCCCAAGAGTGTCCCATGTCATCTTTTCTCCGCCGAGGCCTCGGAGGGGGCCTCCGCCACACTTTCACGGCCGGGCCCCGCCTGCCATCCCGGCTGCGTCGGGGCCGGGGATGCTAATGGATCCGGTCCCCTGCCCCGAACGAAGCTGTCGCCCACCGTGTCCGAGAGTGTCCGTCTGTGAATGTCAGTCCCTGCGTTTGTCCGCGGCTGTCACTGCATGAGACCGTCCGTCTGCGCGTGTCTGTCTCGCGCGCTTCTGCTCGTCTGTCCTTGCGGGTGTCTGCTCCGCCACCGCCGGACCTTTAGGTCGCGTCTGTCACCGCGCGTCTGTGCGTCTGTCGGCGGCTGTCACCGGCGTCCGTCTGGGCCCCAGGGTCTCCGTGTCTCCGCTCCGAGGGAGGGAGGGAGAGGAGGTGGCAGCCCCGGGCGGTGGGGAGTGGCGGGGGCGGAGACAGTGGGCGGGGGCGCGGTGCGGGCCGGAGGGGTGTGTGCGGGGGGCCGGAGGCGGCTGTCAGAGTCGGCTCAGCCTGCGCGGGGAACAGCGGCCGCCTCCCGCTCCCGGCCCGGCTCGGCCGCCTCAGGTGAGTCTCCCGCCCCGCTCCGGACCCCCTCCCCGCGCCCGTGGCCCGTGGGACACGGCGCCTTCCCGGAGGGATCCAGGCCCCTAATCGGATGCCCGGAGACGCCCCCCACCCGCCGCCCACACTCAGCCTTGACGCTAAGCTCGCCGCCGAAGACGTCCGGTTGCCGGTGCGGGAGCCGGCACCCCGGAGGGCTGGCCGCCGCCGCAGCTCCCGCTTTCCCGTGGGGACCCCCGAGCGCCCAGGACCCCGTTAGTCCTCAAGTCTGAGGCCACGGGGAGACGGACGCCCCCTGCCGAGGGCGGAACCCGGGTCGCGCAGGTTCCTGGCGGCCGGCTGCCACCCCACCCCCACCCACCCCGCCGATCCCGCGACCCCAGCGCCCCGCCGCAGCCCCCTGCCTGGCCCAGGCACCCCCCTCCCACGGGGACTCCGTCTCTATTTTGGGGGAAGGGGAGGCTCAGCGGAAGCCCCGAGTTATAATTAGCCCCACTCGGGTTTCCTAGATAATCTCAGCCCCGCCACCACCCCAGCTCAGGGCGGAGGGGGCTGGGTGAGGGGTGACCGCCGCGAGAAGGGGGGAGTTCCGACCCGGGGAATTTTGATCCCTTGGCTGGAGATGCCGGAACCACAGCAGCTGCGGCCCCAAAATAGCGCCCCCACCCCCTGCAGCGGGGGATCTCCGGAGCTCGGAGAACACAGGCGTCCCGGTTCGCCCTTCAGACCTCTACAGCCCCCAGACCCCCGCCCCAAGTTTTCTGCTCCTTTGCTTGGGGCGGGGAGCGCCGTTATTTTATCGGTTTCTACTGCCCCCCGCTGGCGGCAGTGTGCACAGCATCATCAGACGAATGAGGGACGAGTCCTGGGGTCCGAGGCTGGCGAACCCGTTCGCGGAGGCTAGGCGACAGGGGTGCGCAACTGATGGGCACCCACGGGTACCAGCACGCTGTGCCAGACAGTGGACGAGGCGGGCTGGGCGGGGCAGGGTGTGGGGTAGGCAGGATTTGGGGTGCCCCTGGACCTGCGGCTCCCACACCCTGAATGCCCAACCCACCCTCCAGGGCCCCAGCCCTGGCCAACGCAGGAGAGGCTGTGCCTTCACGCCACCGCACGCGCCCCCATTGGCACCTCCCATCATCGAGGGCTCCACCCCTGTCGGGTGGCCTCTACGTGGACTGCAGCCTCTGGTGCGGGTGCCCACAAGGCTCACACTGGGCCCAATCCAGCCCACCCAGCGGGGGGAAGGAGGTGAGGGCGGTGGGTGCTCTGTGGGTCAGGGAGGGCATGCTTGGCAGGTCTCATCCGTTCCTTACATCTGTCTGTCTGTCTGGGTGCGTATGGGCCTGATCTCTGTCCCTCCGGCTTCTCACTGTCTGCCTGTGTCCTTGTCTCTGCTTGTCTGTCTCCTTCCCTCCATTTCTCTCCTCCTCTTTGCCAACCTGCCCCACCTCCTCTGCAGCTTAGCGATAACCCCTGGGCAAGAGTGTTATCTAATCCCCTCCTGGCAGCCTCAGGCCTTCACCCTCTGCCTTTCTTTCTCCTAACAGCCGCCTGCCTGCCTTGGCAGCCATGAGGCCCCCATGGTGTCCCCTGCATACTCTCTTCCCACCGTTCCCACTTCTCCTCCTCCTCCTCCTCTTCCTCCTGGGAGGAGGGGCAGAGGCTGAGCACCCAGAGGACCCGGAGCTGCTGGTGATGGTGCGTGGGGGCCGGCTTCGGGGCACCCGCCTAATGGCCCCTGGGGGCCCTGTCTCTGCTTTTCTGGGCATCCCCTTCGCAGAGCCACCCGTAGGCCCCCGTCGCTTTCTGCCACCGGAGCCCAAGCGACCCTGGCCAGGGGTGCGAGATGCCACCGCCTTCCAAAGTGTCTGCTACCAATACGTGGACACCTTGTACCCTGGCTTTGAGGGCACCGAGATGTGGAACCCAAACCGTGAGCTGAGTGAGGACTGCCTCTACCTCAACGTGTGGACACCGTACCCTCGGCCTAAGACCCCCACCCCTGTCCTCGTCTGGATCTATGGGGGTGGCTTCTACAGTGGGGCCTCCTCGCTGGACGTGTATGATGGGCGCTTCCTGGCCCAGGCGGAGGGGACTGTGCTGGTATCCATGAACTACCGGGTGGGAGCCTTTGGCTTCCTGGCCCTCCCAGGGAGCCGGGAGGCACCAGGCAATGTGGGTCTTCTGGATCAGAGGCTGGCCCTGCGATGGGTGCGGGAGAACGTGGCAGCCTTCGGGGGGGACCCGATGTCGGTGACTCTGTTTGGGGAAAGTGCAGGTGCCGCCTCTGTGGGCATGCACCTGCTGTCCCCACCCAGCCGGGACCTGTTCCACAGGGCTGTGCTGCAAAGCGGTGCACCCAACGGGCCCTGGGCTACGGTGAGCATGGGAGAGGCCCGCCGCAGGGCCACACTGCTGGCTCGACTCATAGGCTGCCCCCCAGGTGGGGCTGGTAGCAATGACACAGAGTTGGTCGCCTGCCTGCGGACACGGCCAGCTCAGGACCTGGTGGACCACGAGTGGCATGTGCTGCCTCAGGAAAGTGTCTTCCGCTTCTCTTTTGTGCCTGTGGTAGATGGAGACTTCCTCAGTGATACCCCGGAGGCCCTCATCAACGCTGGAGATTTCCACGGCCTGCAGGTGACTAGTGGCTGGAGGGGGTAGAGCTGGTTCCTCTATGCCTGTTCTCCCACTTTCCCACCCTACCCCTGGGGACCCAGGCATGAGGGCTCCTCAAGACCCACTTGCAAAGGCTTCTCTTCCCTGAGGGCTCAATCCCAGGGTGGCCAGTGGGACAGAGAGGAAAGAAAATGTGGGTATATTTTCTCCTCTCCGTCCCCCAATCTCATACTCTCTTCCTCCATGGTTCTGGGTCTGGAACTGTCCATCTCTCTGACTCGTTGTCCATCTGTTTCTGTCTGCCTGTCTGTCTGTGTCTGCCTCCACCCCCACCCCATTCCTTCATCCTGTTCCCCCAGGTGCTGGTGGGTGTGGTGAAGGATGAGGGCTCCTATTTTCTGGTTTACGGGGCCCCAGGCTTCAGCAAAGACAACGAGTCTCTCATCAGCCGGGCCCAGTTCCTGGCCGGGGTGCGGGTCGGGGTCCCCCAGGTGAGTGACCTGGCTGCCGAGGCTGTGGTCCTGCATTATACAGACTGGCTGCATCCTGAGGACCCAGCCCGCCTGAGGGAGGCCATGAGTGATGTGGTGGGTGACCACAATGTCGTGTGCCCTGTGGTTCAACTGGCTGGGCGACTGGCCGCCCAGGGTGCTCAGGTCTATGCCTACGTCTTTGAACATCGTGCATCTACGCTCTCCTGGCCCCCCTGGATGGGGGTGCCCCACGGCTACGAGATCGAGTTCATCTTTGGGCTCCCTCTGGAACCCTCGCTAAACTACACCATTGAGGAGAGAGCCTTTGCCCAGCGGCTGATGAAATACTGGGCCAACTTCGCCCGCACAGGGTTAGCAGTGCCAAAGGGCGGATGGCCTCCGGGAGCCAGGGAGGCTGGGAGGACAAAGAGAAAGGGGGAGGAACACAAGCAGAGACAGAGAGGAAGGACCAGAAAGAGAGAGGAGAGTTCACAAAGGAAAGGAGACAAAGGGGGAGAGAATAACAAAGGGGAACGGGAGAGAAAGGAAGGAGAAAGTGGGGTGGCAGATCCTGAAGAATCAAGGACAGTAATGGAGGGAGGCAAAGAGAAGAGATGGACAAGGAGAGACAGAATTCCAACAGCAGTCAGGAGTGTGAACTGTAAAGCTGGGTCAGTTAGATCAGTGATTTTATTATCTGGCATGCACTGGGGGGGGGGGGGAGCCACACACACACACACACACACACACACACACACACACACACACACACGGTTTACCTGTCTGAAGAAGGGGACAATAAATCCAATGTCACATGGGTGTTGTCAAAAGTAAATGCGATGTTTGTAGAGATAGGACTGGGCCTGGTTACATAACAAGAGCTCAATAAATCACCAATTTTTTAAATGAGAGAAACAGACAACGATGGGGCAGGAAAATGGAAGGAAATGGAGAGGAGAGACAGAAAGAGGGCAGGAGGAAGGGAAGACTCCAGATGATGAGGGGTACCGGAGAAGAGAAAGAAGGGTTAAAGCAGCCGTGGGAGGGAAGGGATGGGGCTCCCCTTGGAGCTAAGAGGGCATGGGGTCTGGGAGCACCTGCCTCCTCTTCATCTCCATCCCCCAACCTCAGGGCGGGGCAGGCTTGACTGAGGCTGAGCCTTCCTTTTTTTACACAGGGACCCCAATGACCCGCGGGACCCTAAAGCCCCGCAGTGGCCACAGTACACGGGGGTATCGCAGCAGTACGTGAGCCTAAACCTGCGGCCTCTGGAGGTGCGGCGGGGGCTGCGAGCCCAGGCCTGCGCCTTTTGGAATGGCTTCCTACCCAAATTGCTCAGCGCCACCGGTATGTAGGGCCAGCGGGTAGGGGCTGGGCCCGGGGGCAAGAAATGGGGCGTGGAGAGAGAGAGGGGAGTGGAAGCGGGCGGGGTGTAACCCCTCTCTTCTCCCCACCAGCCTCGAAGGCTCCCAGCACCTGCCCAGGCCCCGCCCACGGGGAGGCTGCCCCGAGGCCCAGGCCCGGCCTCCCCCTGCCCCTCCTTCTCCTCTTCCTCCTCCTCTCCCGGCTCCAGCGGCTGTGACCACGGCCTCCTCCCCCTCCGGCCTCCGGGGGCCCCTCTTCTAATGAGTGGTCGGGCCGGGGGAGGGCCCCACTCAGGGATCTCCGACCCAGCGCCCCTCCCCCTCAAACCAAAAAGCTCACACTGGACAGGGCGTGGGGGAGGGTTGACCTACGATCCGTCTCAGGGACTCACACGCCTTTGTTGTTTAAATGGAAAAGCCCATTTTCTTTTTTTATAGAATGATTCCTTGGAGCCTGAGACGTGTTGGGGGAGAGGGAAGACTCGGGGCTAGCTAGCAACTCCCCGTGGGGCTATAACCGTCAACCGTTTCTGTCTCTTCTCTTTTTCCCATCCACCCACGGATGCTCCCCGCCCCTGATCCCTTCTGTCCCCTTGTCTTCGGTCATTTTCCCCCCTCTCTCCTCCCTCCCGCCAATCCTCTGGCCCCACCTCCACCCTCATCCTCCCCGTCTCTCGTGTTTCTCACATCTACCTGATCCTCTTTCCACCATCCCACGTGCCTCTCCTGTGTCCTCCTGCACTCACAACCCCCACCCGACCTTCTCCACGTCCTCCTCCCACCCACTTGTCGGGCGCCCTGGCCGCAGACACGCTGGACGAGGCGGAGCGCCAGTGGAAGGCCGAGTTCCACCGCTGGAGCTCCTACATGGTGCACTGGAAGAACCAGTTTGACCATTACAGCAAGCAGGATCGCTGCTCAGACCTGTGACCCAGGCGGGACCCCCACGTTCTGCCGCCCTATCCGCCCCCCCCGCCCCGGTCCCCAAGTTGTATATACTATTTATCTAAGGGCTGGGATATTACAGAGGAGCCCTAGACCCACCCCAACTTTCCCCCGGGGCCCCTGGTCCTCTGCATGTCTCGGCCGAGCCCCCTACCCCGCGGTGCCTTCGCCCCTCTGGGCTGCCAATAAACTGTTACAGCCAAAGGTGTGTGCGCGACTGGGGGCGGTAGGGCAGGAGGCCTAGCCAATTGGGCTCAGGGAATGGGGGTGGTCGCTGGGACCTACATTCTGGCCCACTCAGCGCCGGGACACCAGGCGCCACCCCGCAAGGAGAACTCGCGTCTGCGCAGTAAGAAGGGAGGTGCGGTGGGGCGGGGCAGCGGTGCATTGTGGGAACCCTACAGGCCACCAGGTCCGCAGGGCCTAGCGGTGCGACCTCCACTGATTCGTGCTGCCCGTGCTGCCCAGCGCTATTGTTGCCAGAACCTGCGCGCCGGTCCTGCCGCAGCTCGCCCAGGACCCGCCCAAAACCCGTCCGGGCCGAGAGTAAGTGCTAGATCCTGAGTTCTCCCTGGAGTTCGCTCCACGCCGCCAGACGCTCCTTCTGCCCTAACTCGGCAGCTCTGCTCCTGCCCGCCGCCCTGGAGCCACTGAAGGACGTACATCTGGGCCTTGCGCCACCCGCCCGCGGCCCCGCTCGCCTGGCCATCCTCTCGGGCCACTACCTCTACTATCACTATGGCTGCGACGGCGTGGACGACCGGGGCTGGGGCTGCGGATACCGAACTCTGCAGACGCTGTGCTCGTGGCCACATGGCCGGCCCGTGGGTGTTCCCGGATTGATGGACGTGCAGGCCGCGTTGGAGGACATGGGTGACAAGCCCCCTGGGTTCCGCGGCTCCAGGGACTGGATCGGCTGTGTAGAGGCCAGCCTCTGCCTCGAATACTTCAGAGGACCCCAGGGGCGCCTATGCCACGTTCCCCGTGGAGCTGGGCTTCAGGGGGAGCTGGAGAGACTTCACTCCCACTTTGCAGGGGGCGGAGGGCCTGTAATGGTTGGGGGGGATGCGGATGCCCAGTCTAAGGCCTTGCTGGGAGTCTGTCTGGGGCCGGGCACCAAAGCCTTCGTCCTGGTACTGGACCCTCACTGCTGGGGTGCTCCAAAAAACCCCACTGAACTACAGATTGCTGGGTGGGTGGGCTGGCGAGAGGTGAGCACAACATTTGACTCCAAGTCCTTCTACAACCTGTGTTTGACCAGCCATAACTCTGAAAAGCAGCTGCCTCCCCAGGACTGACACTTCCCAAAACAGGACTGTCTCCGGCCCCACACACTCTCAAGGGCAGAGGCTTAGAGACTGCAGGGTGCCAGGCCCTCAGGAAGTCCCAGTAGAGCCTGGAAACTTTGGCATCAATAAAGTGACAAGGCCCGGCTCAACCATTGCCCCAGCCAATGTTTGGGAGGATTTGGGGAGGTATATAACATACACTTGGTCAGGAATCACTGCGGAAGTGCTTTTATTGGCAGTAGGGCTGGACGTACAAAAAATTCTGAAGAGCTGGATGGGACAAGGCAGTCACAAGTATAGATGGTACTGAGAGTGAGGGAAAGTCGATGGCTCAAAAGAAATCCACATCATCTGGAGCATCCAGGTCACGGTATTCAACAATGGCCCGTGGGTCTCCACGGGCCATCCTGTGAGATAAGAAAGAGGTAAAATGGGATGAGAGTTGAGGGTCCCCATTTAAAGAGGGCAAGAAAACTTGGACATCTTAGCTCATTCTCACCTGTTTCGAGGTTTCCCAGGATAACCTCCCTGGCCTCGGAAGGCATCATAGTTCCCTCGGCCAGCACCATAAGGGGCATGGGGATATGGAGGCCCTCCTGTGGGGACTGCAGGGCGGACAGCACCAGCTATGAAAAAGATCAGTGTTGAGTTGGGAACCTATGACCTCAACTATCTTAGCTGCTTTCTCCCAACCCCTCACAACCACCAAACCCTTCAAGACCTTCCTATACTTACCTCCATACCCCAAAATAGGGGGCCGGGGCTGGCCATAGGGCATCAGGCTCTGGGGAGTCTGGTGTGGGTAGGGGAGTCCTGGAGTCAGGCCTGGGGGGAGTACAACACAGACAGGGACATGAATTACTGGGGAAGGAGGTTTGGGGGGAGACAGGACACAACTAGCTGTTAGGAATATGGCCAGAGGGGGTAAGGCAGAAACTTTTTCAGGGGACAACAGGATAAAGAACCAGGAGTCCTGCCCTAACCAGTTTGGCTTAGTGGAGAGAACGTCAGCCTGTGGACTCAAGGGTCCCAGGTTCGATTCCGGTCAAGGGCATGTACCGTGGTTGCGGGCACATCCCCAGTGGGGGGTGTGCAGGAGGCAACTGATCGATGTTTCTAACTCGTTATCCCTCTCCCTGCCTCTCTGCAAAAAATCAATAAAATATATTTAAAAAAAAAAAGAACCAGGAGCCCTTGAAGAGTCAAGGGAGAGTGAATGTGGCAGACTCTCATGCAGGGGTCCTCAAACTACGGCCCGCGGGCCACATGCAAGTACAAATATTGTATTTGTCCCTGTTTTGTTTTTTTACTTCAAAATAAGATATGTGCAGTGTGCATAGGAATTTGTCATAGTTTTTTTTTAAACTATAGTCCGGCCCTCCAACAGTCTGAGGGACAGTGAACTGGCCCCCGGTTTAAAAAGTTTGAGGACTCCTGCCCTCATGGATCGTATCTTACTCTGGGCAGGGCCAGGTGGCTGAGCTGGCTTGATCTCAGGCAGAGCTGGGCGCTTAGCATCAGTGAGAAAGTTGTTAAAAAATGCTACCTCCTTCTTCACTTCCTCAATTTTCTCCGAATGCTTATTGAAGATGTGTTTGCGTACAAACTCAGGTCCCTGGATGCAGAGGAAAGAGTCAGAACTGAACAAGCAGTTCCCTAACTCCCCAGACCCCATAATAATCACCCTTCCCTCCCACCTATCCCATAACTAATATCCCAGACCTTGAATTTCTTGCCACTGAGAGGGCATAGCCACTTATCCTTGCCCAGTTCCTGGGTGTTAGAGGTGACAAATTTTTCCACTTCCTGCTCAGGATCTTTGCGACCCATCTTCTGGGCCTCTTCCTCTGAAAGAGATTCCCGCACACTCAGCAGTGGAGTCAGCTTCTCCTCAAACGTCTTCTGCCACTCTAGAACTGTGGTTTGGGAATAAAGGCAGACAGCAGGTTGAAAAGGAAGCCAGAGCAAGGAATAAGCAAGGAGGGGATTAGAGGAGAAGTGACAGAGCACTGCTTCAGAGCAGAACTAAAACCAGCTAGGGAGGAAGGGGCACTAGAGGAGACTCAGGTAGGGAGCTCACCTTCTCCATGACTGATGCGGTTGGGTGGCATGGGTCCCCGCACATGGATAATGCCACAACGGTTGGGCATTTCATCTTCATTGGGGTACTCGCATGTGTTATAATAATCCAGGGAATGCACAATGCGCAAATAGAGGAGTAGTTTGTCCAAAACCTAAGGGAAATGAAAAGCCATGAGTTCACCCACACTCGCCCTATATCTCCCCAAGCCAGGTTCTCATCCCACTCTGCTCTCACTGGCACCTTGATCAGCTTCTCATCTCGTTCCACGTTGATCTCCGCTGGGTTTCCTTCCTTAGGGGGCTCCTCAGGGGGGGCCCCGCCACTACTCCCCAGCAGCTCTTCCTCCTCAGCACTCACTTCCTCAATCAGGTAGTCAGTGATATTCTTCAAGATTGGGTTCTGAGAGGGCAGGCTCTAGTTGGGAGGGAGAAGAAAAGCAAGTGAGGCAGAGAAAGCCCCTTAGGGTAGGTAGCCTAGGAAACTAATTTGAAAGGCAAGGTGAGGCTGAAAGAATTCAAGGCTCACTTGGCCTGTTACCGCTGCCTCAAGATTTGTCTTCATGTTTGTATTTATTCTACACATTAGCCCACAAATAATCACTAACACCAATCTGTTCTCCTGGAAGACCAGAGATGCCCACAGATGAGGGGGTATTGGCTGCTTTTGAAAAAGTTCTATGGAGAGTCACTGACTGTTGGCAGAGGAGGTGTCCCCGGCTCAGAGGCCCAGAGCTGGGTCCTGTCGTCCAACGTATGGATCAGCTTGGCTGCCAGCTTGATGTCATTGCGCACTATCTGCTTGTGTTGAGTAATGCCATTGATATTGCGGACGCGACGGGTCAGGTCTCTGTTCACACCAGGACTCAGCTCACACTCCCGGAGCTAGAAAGAACAGAAAGCTACCAACACTTGCCCAAGAAGCAGCAACTCAAAAGACTGGCCCTATTGAGAACACCAGTGATTAGACTGTGAGTTCCCTGAGGACAGGGATCAGGTGTGTTAAACAAAACAGTCCCAGAGCCTAGCCCAGAGACAACAGTACAGAATTAATGTAAGCAGACTAAACAGATGAAATAGGGGGCAGAATGAAAGAAGCAACCAATGAACAAAGCATTCGGAGGTGTGCAGCACAGAGAGCCGCACTTCTTCCTCAAAACAGTCCTGCTCCCAGTACTCACTCGGATATTCTGCAGATTCCAACAAATCTCTTTGATGTTAACACTGCGGTCAAATGTCACCCAGCCACGACGGAAAAACCTAAACAAGAACAAAGATGTCAACATAATCCTGGGGTGAAGGTGATGTTGGCCATTAACCTTCCCCCTGCACCTTTTCTCCAAGGTATCCAGGGTCACACTTCTCTCCATCCCTCACCTCCTCTCAGGCTGGGGCTCCGATAATGCCACACGCATAAAACCTGGATATCTTTTACAAAGCTGGAAAAGCAGAGGAACAGAAACCCCATTAGTAAGTTAAGGAGTCACATCTTCCTTCAATCCCCCCTATCCTCAGGACCCTAGGGAACTGCCTTTAGTCTTTACTCGGACAAGGAAAAAGCAACAAAGAGCTTCAGAGGAACAGCATTTAAAAGCAAATGGTGCAACCAGGACCAGCCCTGGAAAGGCATGGGCCCATAGGAAAGGAGCCTCCCTGTTACAGAAGTAGGGATGTATGTCAGAAGCAGTGTCAGATTATCTTCTCCCCACCTAGTGTACCGCCCGCGCCTCCCAAATTCTTCCTCCACCCGACCTTGGGCAAAACATGGAGCCTGGGTGTTGTCCCTGCCCCCAGTGCCATTTTCCCCACTCACAGAAATGATCTCAGCCCGGGAAATGTTAGGTGCGATATTGCGCATAAAGAGAGAGCAAGTCTTATGCAGAGGCCGGGGTTTACATTCCAGCCCAGGAACATCCTTGGGCTTCTCCCTTTCTTCTTCCTTGGGCTTCTCCTTTTCCTTGAGTGCTTCTTCTATGCAGGAAATGGCGGGAGTTGGTTAGTTTTTATTATTGATTTTGGAGGAGATAGAAAAGCTGTCAAACTCCCATCCCACCTCCCCCACGCCCTTCTTTCCCAAAAAGCCACCCTCCCATCAATTTCATCGTCTCACCTCCCCCACCATTCATAGAAAGAGAATGGACTGGGAGAAAATAAAACCTACCAGCCTCCTCCTTCTCCTCCTCAGCTTGG